TTAGCTGAACCAACCAAGGACATTCATTTGAAATATCTGAAAGCTATGCGTTTGTCAAAAGATACTTCCAGTCACACAAGCTGCAGTGATGACATTTCTGCCCCGAGCTGACCGAATGGGTTGTTTATTCTTTGAACATTCACATGCCGTGGGTCAAGGACGATGTAATCTGTGACCTTAAAATGCTTATCTTCCAACGATGACATATTAGCAACTTTACACACACACACACACACACACCCCTTTCTTTCGAATATAAACTAATAATAAACACTATATTGCACTGCACAGTTTGCTAAGCACTTGTACGTGTGAACTGTTCCTTGATCCTCCCGATTATTAACTGAAATGGATGTTTTTAAACTTTTAGAGATGAAGAAAATGAAGCTTGTCAATGGCAGCCCTGATGTAGTTGTTTATTCATGGTTTCATTTTACCTACTTCATTTATAAAATATTTTGGAATTCTAAAATCACATAAACGTCATCAATTTTTTTTTAAATTAAGAAAGCAGAATAAAATCAGAGACAGGAAGTAGCTAGTGCAGATGGAGTAAACCAGGGTAAATGTGAGTGTGCAGTCATGCAGGCTGAATAGGCCTCCCCAGTTCCCAGCACTATGTCATAAATTGGATCTGAGTTTCCTGGAAACCTAAATAAAAATGAAAAGAAATCATGTACAAGATTCACATCATCCATGAGGATAAAGTACACCGGTTGTTCAGAAGCAAAAATGCTTCCCCTGATGACTGAAATATCTTCTATAGGTATTTACTGAGTGTGTGCTTCTCACTCATGGCCCCAGAGCAGGCTCAGCTGGGAGCCTGAGAAATGCCCATGTCCGGGACCCACCGCAGACCCACTAAGCAGCATTTCTGGGGGGAAGTGCCTGGGTCTTAGCATATTTTCTTTACAATTCCCCAGATGATCCTAATGTGTAGCCGGGATTAAAAAGCCCTGACAGTGAATTCCCAGTCACAGAGCAGCATCCCCAATAGATTTCTACAATAAATCCTAGAGAGAGTTCTATGGTTCCCAAGACGTTCTGTTGGCATGGAACAGTAGGGCACATTTTGGAAGCTGATCTGGACCTAGATCTTCCAGCTCAGTCTCTGATGTTTTCCCTGGGAATGGGAGCGAGGGAGGGGGTAGAGTTTTAGAACATGAAACTTACAGAAGTTGAGTATTATTTCCACAAATGGAACCATGAGTCAAGTGTAGGTAATTTGGTGGCTGCGGCATGGGAAATGGTTTCAGGAACACAACCTCAGTGAATGGGGAGCCAGTGGGAGGTTGACTCAGACCCTAACCACCCCTAGTGGTCCATGATGTTACCTGAAGGGCTGGGGAAATCGTAAACAGGTTTATTCTATGTCTCCACCTGCTACCTGTTTGTGACTCATGATTAGGAGAGGCGTGGATGATTTCTCCCTTTTCCTGATATATTGGGCATTTCATCAAGCACACAGAAAAAATAACTCCACGTCTAGAGGGCTTGCAGTTCTACTGTTCCACTGACCCATGGCTCCCGGAGGTTCCCATGTCATTCAGCGTCTGCAAAGAACATACCAAAGGGATGAAAAGCTGCCTCAAGAAAAAGCCCTCAAACTGCAGACTTTTGGAAGATCACTGTAGCTGATTTTTTAAAAAAATTGCACAAAGCATTTCTATGAAATCACCTGGTACTAGTGAATGTTTCTACAAGTAATAACACTGAAAGCTTATCATTCAGTGCTCTGCAAGTTTTCAAATGCTCGCATAGGCAGCATTACGTTTGCTCTCTCAAGTTCTCAAGAGTATCCGTGGAAAGAGGAATGCCATATTTTCCAGTAGTGAGACAAGAACAAGGAAATTTCTATCACACACAATTTTCTAAGCCTGCCTGAAGATCAGAACCACCTGGGGCACTTGTCAAACATCCAGGCCCTTCAGGAAATGCTGGCTTACCAGTGCTTGGTTGGGTCTGAAAATCTGGTTTAGTTCTTTTTTGTTGAAATTATTGCTTAGGTTTTTCTTACCTTTGGCAAATTTAGGATAATTGCACTTGAAAGAAGTTTGGATAATAGGTTTGTCAAAAAAGAGCAAGAGTCTTGGGAAAAGTTTCTCTAGGTTTGAACTCTGAAGGATCTTGACTTAAATATTGTCCTAAACACTCAGTAGCTTTGTGCAAATTACTTAAACTCCTTTTGTCTCCAAATTCCACAAAATGGGAATTATTTTTTTTAAACTTTCGTCATGTGATTTTTAAAAAATTTTATTTTATTATGTTAGTCACCATACATTACATCATTAGTTTTTGATGTAGTGTTCCATGATTCATTGTTTGGGTATAACACCCAGTGGTATAACACTGCTCCATGCAGTACGTGCCCTCCTTAATACCCATCACCGGGCTAACCCATCCCCCCCACCCCCCTCCCCTCTAGAACCCTCAGTTTGTTTCTCAGAGTCCATAGTCTCTCATGGTTTGTCTCCCCCTCCGATTTCCTCCCTTCGTTTTTCCAAAATGGGAATTATTTTATCTTCAGAGAGTTAGTATCAGAAAAGATAACTAATGTACATTTAAATGTCTACAACTAACATGGGGCTTAGAATATAGTAATTACCTGATGTGCAAAAGTGACTATTACTAATGGCCAAGTGGTCAAATTGTGAATCACCACTCTGAATAAAAAACCTGAACCCAGCCTCCATCCTAAAGCGATGGTTCTCAACTGAGGGCAATTTTGCTCCTAGGGAACATTTAGCATTGTCCGGTTCCAGGGGACATTTTTGATGATCACGACGAGGGGGTGCTACTGACACCTAGTGGTCGAGGCCAGGAATGCAGCTAAATAGCTAAATATCCTACTATGTGCAGGACAGCCTGCTCCTACCGCCCAGGTATGCTGCTGTTGAGAAACCCTATCCTAAAGGGACAGTGAGACAAGTAAAATGTTTTGTGAGCAGAGGGATAAATGCTTTGAGTCATTGGTGTCCCCGTGTAAATGCAGATTCAGTGGGACCCCGAGGCATTTCTGGTGGATCAGAGGGACTCTGGATAAGGTCAGAGGCATGGATCTGCATCCTGGTAGTACCCCTGATCAGGGCTGACTTGTTACACCCAAGCCCACCATTTTTTGTGTAGGATACAGCCCGGGCAAATATTTTCACCTCGGGGTGTCTGAGACACCTCATTCTACCAATGGTCATTAGACCCATCTGGGGAACTTTTTGACATGCAAACTTCTAGCTCCATTCCCTGGATATTTCACTTTAGTAGGCTCAGGAAAGGGTCCTGGGAGCCATATTTATAAAAATCACCTCAGGGACTTCAGAATCACAGTCATAGCCAGGTTTGGGCCCTCTGATTTCCCTGCCAACTCCGATTTCAGGGCATATACAAGCCCTGGACAGTGGAGACACAAAGTTTTGCCAGATATAGCTTCTCTCACCTCATGCAAATTAACCATTTTTGTGGCTCTGAGGTATCTGGATTAATTTTGTGTTTTCTGTTTTTACTATTAGTCCTGCTCCCACTGTTAACACCACTACCCCTATAGGGCCAATAATAATAATAATTAACAACAACACAGAATGTCAAGGGTAGTACCCTGTTATTTAGGACTAAAATGAAACTGTCTCAAGCACCATCCTGGGTGTATTTCTCCACATCTCACCAGCGACTCTGGGGTTCACTTCCAGCCCCAAGTTCCTGCTTCCTCTGATGTGGATCAGTCGACGGGTCATCTTGTTATCTTTTCGCATGACTGTGGTGACTCAGACAGTTTCTCAGTGAACACAACCTCCATAGACACCAGGCCTGTGTGTGCAAAGTAGACTTTACAAAAAGTTTGCATAGGGTCAGGGGACGTGTAACACAGATAACCATAAATCATGTGTATCTTCTGTTTAAAAATGTTCTCAGCCCTTCTGCGGGCTCAGACTCCAGGCGTTCGCCATGTTGCTGGTTTCCGACGTCTAGGCTGCTTTTGCCCTGCTCTGGACGGCAAAATAAAGAAATGAATGAATGAACGAAAACTATTTGTATACATATATATAAGATATATATATATGTATCTGTGAATGTATATATATATGTGCATGTCTGTGTCTATATAACATATGTATGTTTGTGTGTATACACTTATACACACACACACACACACACATACACACACATACTTCTATATTTATGCACAACTCAGCCCTTCCTTCCTTTTGCTCTCCTTCCTGATCCTCACTCTGGGGTCTGTCTTATCACTCCCTCATGGCCCACGAAGTCGTTCATATGAACAGAGATAGATAATCCCTTTCCCAGTGGGAGTTATGATGCCAACTGCGGGAGCTCACAGACCCCGCTAACCCAGCATTTGTGTGACCTCCTGCACACTCTCATGTACAGTGGTCCCTTTCATCCTCACCGGAACACGTTAAGGTCATTGTCATTTCCCTCCTTTTGCAGATGAAGACCTGAGCTTTAGAAAACTCACGTTAATTGTTTGAGGTCCAATAGCATGTAAAGGCTATAGGGACATCCGCCCCCCCGCCCCCCGCTATTCCTCAATTCTAAATCGAGAACTTTTCCATCCACAGCAGGAGTTTTCTACCCTGGATGCACATAAAAATCATCTGGGCGACTTTAAAAATACTGATGCAGAGTTCCACCCTAGTACAATGAAAACAGAATCTGGGGGTGGCGCTCAGGCAACTCTATATTTAGAAAACTTGCCTGGTGGATCTAAAGTGTAGCCCTGCTCTGTGGTGTGTTGGTCCCCAACATACCAACCTGCCAACCAGGAGACCGAGAGCCATCACGCGCACAGAAGTAAAGGCTGAGCTCCTGGCTCTTCTGGACCATGGGATATGTGCTGCTCCCACGAACTCACCCAGCCTTCTCCCAAATGTTGTTTTCAGACCCAAACACTTGGATCATTTGATAATGTTTCAGATCAGTATTCACCTGTCCAACAAGTCTGTCCACGATCCTACCTTTCCTTACCCCTCTTTTCCTCTTTCCAGGCACGAAGAAGCACTCTCATGGCTCACCAGCTCCAAGCACTAGCTCCGCAAGTCGCCTTGCCTTGCCAGGTGGGTAAATGGCACTGCAGCATAATCTTAGCAATCACAGGTAACAGAAAGGACCTGTTTCTCAGTTGATTTTGACAGCTGATAAACTGGGAATCTGGCCCCTTATCTATCTAGTCCACCCCACATTATCAGAGAGCTCTGCCTCTGTCATCAAGATTTGTAATTTTCCTTCAGGAATGGACATAATGTACTTACCTGTGTTTCATAATCTTTCCTGCTCATTCATGGAAAGAGTAGATTCTTGTTCTTCCTGGATGTTCATCTGGACATGCTATGGAAGAACTTTGAGAGACAGATGGTACAGGGGAGGGTGTGTGAACCTTTGTGAGAGACTTGAGTTCAAATCCCAGCTTTGCCTTGTTCACATTGTGCAAGCTCTCTGCACTTACTCAGCTGCTTGGACCTCTGTTTCTCATCTGTCTGTGTGATGATAAGGATTAGAAATAATGCTTATAAATTTAGCATAGTACTGACTCACAGCTAATCTCTACTACTGAGAAATATGGAAGTCATGTATGATCTGTACTGGGTACCATCTAACATTTACCAGAAATTTTTAAGCATTCATGATGATCCTGTGTAATCACTATTTAATATGAGGGGCACCTATTGGTCATTTCGTCTCCATGCATAGGCTTCCATTCTCTACCATAATTTAATTTTTACGAGTAAAATTGGGAAGAACACATTTGTTTAGGAGGAAAGAGAGGCCATAAATAGGGACATTTGCAAATTTGAAAAATAACAAAAATTATAAGAAAGAAAAATGTTAATAATGTTAGCACTTGGAGCTAACCAAGATTGCCCCTCCTTCCAGTCTTTATTAAATACTTTTTTTCCCTAGATTGCAATTATATTCTACATAGAATTTTGTTTCTTCCCCTTTAAAATTTACCTTTATATTATATTTCCCCCATGTTATTAAATATTAAAAAATATTTCAGAGACTAACATTTCATATTATACCACAATTTATTTATATATTCATTGATAAATTTGGCTTTTATGTAGCTTGCATTTTTGTTATTATAGATAACCTTATATTCCTGTACATAAATCTTCTTCTGAGTCTGTATGCATGGATTTGGGAGAGATTCCTCTAGGGAGGATTACTAGCTCAAAGAATTTATACGTATTTAGGTTCTTGGTACATTATTGTCAAAGTGATTTCCAGAAAGGTAGTATTATTTTATACTTTTAGTGGTGAGTTTGCCTTTTACTATGCTCTTGCTAATGCTAACATTAATACTTTACCAATTTGATAAGAAAAAATTATATTCATATTCAGTTTGCATTTATTTGATCATTTTTTAAAAGAATCTGTTTTCTAATGTTAATTTGTCTTTTACATTTCTTCTTTTGGGAATTGCCGAACTTCATCCATTCTCAGAGGGACAGTGCCTTGCATTTTAATCCCTCTGCAGTAGGAATGTTTTGCAAGCAATGTTGTGTTATAATTTAATGAGCAGCATTTTTTTCTTGGTTGTACATGAAAATAGTTCACTTTATAATCAGTGGCATCTTAGATTAGATGAAATATAATCTATATCTATTTGCTTTTCCAACCTCAACTTCTGTATCTTCCCTACCACAGTCTAAAAACTGGACTCACTGTCCACTGAGTAGCCCTTGAGCTTTCTTGCCACTGTCACTCTGCCTGGACTACTCCTTACCCTTTTCTTCTTCTGGATAATTTCTCTTTGTGGTCCTTCCAAATCATCTAGGTAGAATTAATAGTGACGTATAATGATTTGCTTGTAAACCCCTTTTCTCATTGTTAGGGGGCTTTTCCAAGGGTGGGGACTGTCTTTTTCTTTTTTTTTTTTGCCCCAGTGCCTGTCAAGGTGACAAGCATACATTGGGTGCTCATTAATGTCTATAAGACTGGGTATGTAGATGTGTGAGTGAGAAATATCTAATTTCATTTATGACTATATAGAAGGCAACCACATTCAGAAAAGACTCATTTTCAAATTTGGATTTGTACTAATTATACTAACTTGCTTTTTAGTATTGACCAGACTCTGCTCTGTAGTCTCTGGAAGCCTCTTTCATCTTGTTCCTGCTTGTGGTTTTGGTGTTTTTAGGACTAGAGACATTAGGAGGAAAACAGCTCCAAATCAACTCCAGTGTGCTGTGATGGTGTTTGTTTTTCTCTGTAAGGTTATAACATTCCTGGGTCATGTGGCACCTCTGACATCATTCTGGACATCCACAATAATATGCAGAGCTGACCTGGTTCCCACCTGCTGTGCTGGGGGCCTGTTGCTGGCCTGCCAGGTTTCCAAGGCTTATGAGTCAGAGTTGCCGCCATCTTGTCTTTGGCCTTCATGTGACAGTTTAAACTGGTCCTAAATTGGGTGTCTTAGGCACTGAGTTCTGACCATTCCAAACCCTGTAGAAGTGGAGTGGGTAGTTCTCAAAACACTTGACATACTTAACTGTGCATTGTCTAGCAGACACCCTTCACATCACTCATTACAATGGCCAGCTCGCTACTTCTTCCTACCTCAGGAATACCACATGTTGCCTCCCTTGACTCAAATGCCTCTACCATAAACTCTTGGTGTAGGCTGTCAAGCAATTTAAAATATCATGTTTAAGGATACTCAAAGAGTCAAACAGAGGGATAATAACCCTTGAAAAACAATACAACAAAACTGTGCAGAAAAAAAAACGCCAAGAACAGAGATATGCAAAAGAAGCAATTCAAAATCTGAAATTTTAAAAAGTAAACAAACATATAGTCATTGGAACTTAAAAAAAGAAAGAAAAACAATGTGGAACACAGCTGAAAAGAGAATTAATGTTGGAAGTTAGTCCTTAGGACTTGATAGCAAACACAGTATAGAGAGGGAACTGTATCAAAAATGAAAGAGCATGAACCATAAGACTTTTAGAAGATGATACAGAGATAAATCTTTATGACCTTGGATTAGGCAGTGGTTTCTTAGATATGACACCTAATACCCAAAGAAAAAATAGATAACACAACTTTTTTTTTATTTTAAAGATTTTATTTATTTATTTGACAAAGAGAGACACACTGAGAGAGGGAACACAAGCAGGGGGAGTGGGAGAAGCAGGCTTCCCGTGGAGCAGGGAGCCCGATGCAGGGCTCGATCCCAGGACCCTGGGACCACGACCCTATCCAAAGGCAGAGGCTCAACGACTGAGCCACCCAGGCACCCCGATAACACAACTTTGTTAAAGATAAAAACTTTTGTGTTTCAAGGGACACTATTAAGAAAGTGGAGGGGCACCTGGGTGGCTCAGTTGTTAAGCGTCTGCCTTCAGCTCAGGTCATGATCCCAGGGTCCTGGGATCGAGCCCCGCATGGACTCCCTGCTCAGCAGGAAGCCTACTTCTCCCTCTCCCACTCCCCCTGCTTGTGTTCCCTCTCTTGCTGTGTCTCTCTCTGTCAAATAAATAAATAAAATCTTAAAAAAAAAAAAGTGGAAAGAAAATCCACAGAATGGAAGAAAATATTTGAAAATCATATATCTGATAAGGGTCTAGTATCCAGAATATGTAAATAATGTTCACAACTCAACAATAAAAAGATAAATAACCCAATTAAAAAGAGGGCAGAGGATTTAAATAAACATTTTTCCAAAAAAGATATACAAATGGAACATGAAAAGATGTTCAACATCGTTAGTCATTAGGGAAATGCAAATCAAAACTACAATGACATACTACTCTACATTCACTAGAATTGTGACAATAATAGCAAGTGTGATGATGATGTGGAGAAATTACTAGCCTTGTACATTGCTGGTGGGAATGTAAAATGGTGCAGCCACTTTGGAAAAGAGTTTGGTAGTTTCTCAAGAAGGTAAACATACAGTGACCAAATGACACAGCGATTCCACTCGTAGGTGTATTCCCAAGAGAACTGAAAAGATACGTTTACACAGTAACTTGTCCACAAATATTCAAAGCAGTATTACTCATAATAGCTAAAAAGTGGAGAGAAACTAAATGTCCACCAACTGATGAATATATAAACCAAATGTGCTATATCCATACAATAGATTTTTTAAAAAAGATTTTATTTATTTATTTGAGAGCGAGAGAGAGCACACAAGCAGGGGGAGCGGCAGGCAGAGGGAGAGGGAGAAGCAGGCTCTCTGCTGAGCAAGGAGCCCGATGCGGCACTCGATCCCAGGACCCTGAGACCATGACCTGAGCTGAAGGCAGACACTTAACTGACTGAGCCATCCAGGCGCCCCTACACAATAGATTATTATCTATTATCTATCTAAAGGGCTGAAGTATTGATACATTCTACAACATGGATGAATCTTGAAAACATTTTGCTAAGTGAAAGAAGCCAGGCACAAGGCTACACATTTTATGATGCCATTTATGTGAAATAACAAGAATAGGCTTATCCATAGAAAGAGAGAATAGATTAGGGGTTTCTAGAAGCTTGAGGAGAGAGAAGAATGAGGAGTGATTTCCTACGGGTATGGGATTTCTTTTCATAGTGATGGAAATGTTTTGGAATTAGATATTGGTGATGGCTGCACAGCCCTGTGAGTACAGTAACTGAACTGTACACTTCAAATAATGAAGTTTGTGGTATGTGAATTACATCTCAATAAAAAATGAGAGAGCATGGAAGATAGATAAATGGCTCTGAAGACTCACCTTGGGTGGAAAATGCAGCTCAATTGCCATACATACTTAAATAAAACCAAATGCATATCTAATGATATTGTGTGAGATTGCCTAAAATTACCTCAAAATGAGAAATTCTTAAATGCCATGGGAAGCTGGCTGTATTCAAGCAGGTTGCTTATAATAAAATGACAACCAACTAATGGCAAAATTTGCATTGGTAATAGTAGATGCCAGAAGACAATGAGAATGCATCTACCATGTGTTGAGGGAAAGTAAGTCAATATATAATAACTAAAATAGCTCAATTATTAGTTATGAGTGAAGGCAAAGTAAAAACATTTTCAGATATACAATGACATGGTTTACCAGTTGCGGACTTCATTAAAAGAAAGATTAAGGGATATACTTCAAAAAAAAAAAAGAAAGAAAGAAAGAAAAATGAACCCCAAACCAAGGTGTATCTTCTTGTATCTTGAGATACAAGAGCAAATGGTATACACACAAGTAAACAGAACATGTTGGTAAATTTGAGCGAGTAATTATAAAAAAATAATGTCCAATTTTTGTGTTAAAATAGGAAACGGAAGCTATAGATGGAAGGAGGTTTATTCAGTAGAAAGTTAAGGACTGCTAAAATCCATTTTGTGTTTGGACAGAACTTTGTAATTTTGTAACTTTTTAACACAAAGGATCATCAGTAAAATAATTGATATATAGCCTGTAACATTTAAATTGGGAACTGAACAACAACAAAGAAGGAATATAAAAATGTATCAATTTAATAGAAGGCAGAAAGGAAGAAAAGGAATAAAGAATGATTACAAAATTAGATAGTAGAATCAAATACAAAACAAAACCAAAATTACATAGTAGAATCAAATCCAAAAATATCAGTAATAATAATAATTGCAAATGGCTTAAACTCTGGTATTAAAATAGGAAAGATTATCTGATTAGATAAGGAAAACAAAAACCAGACCTATCGTGCTTTTAAGTGCACACCTTTAAAAAAAATCTACAGAAAGTTTGCTAACATATGACAAAAGAAATTCTATGCAAAATTAAACGTAGTTCTTTGAAAAACATTGGCCATTTTAACATCTGTATAGCAGTCTATTATATAAATGAGCCACAGGATGTTTAATCATTCTCCTATTGATGCTTTCCATTTTTTGCTATTACTAACAATGCTTAATGTAATGTCCAACAAGAAAAGCAAGTTGCAACAAGATATATACCACCTAAACACAATTTGTGTTACTTTTTAAAACAAGCAAAAATATTAGATATTTAATGGATGCATACAAATAAAATAACTGAGTGTTTCTATGCACAGGGATAATAAGCATCAAATTCTAGATGATGTTTTTTTGTGTGATGGGGGGAGAGAAGTATCCTGGAAGAGTATACTAGGTACTTCAACTCTATTTGTGACATTTAATCTCTTTAAATATCTTTATGAGCTAATATGCAAAATGTTAAGATTTGATTAAATTGTATTGAAAGGACATGGGAATTTGACATTATTATTATCTATACTTTTCTGTATGCTCAAAATATTATATATTAAGAATTTTAACTGAAAAACCCAGGGCTGTCCTCCAAGACAGCTTTGTTTGGTTTCATCCACGTAAACGTGATTTTACAAATATTTCGGAGAAATTTAATGTTTTCCCTTTCTAACATACTGGGAGAGATGGGTGTTGGGATATGAGGATTCAGATATGAAGTAAGTCCTGCTGGTAACATGCTTCAATCCAGAAGCCACCAGAGACCACTTCATTAAGGAACAGCTTGTGTGGTTTCCAAAATTATCAAAGGAGTCCTAAAGCTCCAGCAACTGGGAAATTCTTCTGGGGCCATCTCCTTGATTCGTTGTGTATCTATAGCAAAGTGACTCTTACGTAGTAAAGTAAGCACCTGCAGCTGATTTTTTCTAGAACCACCTTTCACCATGCCCCATGAGGTCTGTGAACCCAATCACGCTCCATGTGTGGGCTGTAAATGGTGGAGAGCTGAGGAAATGTTGGCTCTCACTGGAGGAGTGGCCCAGAGCTTCAGCACCACTCACAGCCATGACCGCTAACGAAGGAGCCTAGTCAGTGACTTACTTCTGAGCAGATTCCCCAGGGCACTTCAGTCACATCACTTTTGGGAAGTGATCCTTAGACGGAAAGGTACAGTACCATCCCCATTTGCTGATGCACTTGGCTGATCGCTCCTCCGTGTGTGCGGCTGCCGGCGTGCATCCTAGTGTTGGCAGTAGACGTAGCTCTGCTTCTAATCTCCGTGCCTGATGTAGAAAAAGTTTGTGTGTTGAGATGCCACCTGGCTTGCAATGACATTGTCATGTGTCCTATTCTAGGGGACTACGGATAAAACGTTCATCCAGAGGATTCCTCAGAAGAGAACTGACCAGCTCTGAGGTCTGAAGACATTTTAGGAAGCTTATGCTTTTTTTTTTTTTTTTAAACTGAGACGAAGTATTATGTGTATTATAAGTTATTGAGTGGTAAACTTCAAAAAATAACTTCTGATCTCCCTAATATAGGTTTTTAACAATAAATACTTTGATATGTATTGCACATCTATTAACTATCAGGGATAATGCTAGATTCTTAACATGTATTACCTCATTTAATCCTCATGACAACTCTCTAAGGAAGGTATTTATCTCCATTTCACAAATTAGGGAACTGAAACATAATCAGATAAGTAGCTTGCCCGAAGTTAGCAGGCAGCAAGACAAGGCAAGCCTATGCTTTTTGCTTGAGTTTCATTGTTCATGGGTAAAGACCGATGTCAAATAGTCCAGATGTAACCACCTTTCTTATTCTGCCTGGGGATTAGACCAGGTTCCCCTGCACTAATTCCAGGTGCAGCTCTGGGTGCGGAGGAATTCCTCACTGTCTTTTAAGTGAAGTTTCCAGTGAGTGCTCTCTTTGTAATTCTTTTATCTTGAGTTCAGTTTGAGGGATGGCGGTTGTCATTCTTACTATGGACTGGATCAAAGCTCATTTGTGATGTATTGATTTAGCATTTCAGAGCTCTAGAAACCTGGTGAAATTTAGCTTTGCAGGCTTCTTCTGGGATACGTCCTTGTTGGTATGAACAAAGGGCAGAGTTACTGACTGAGCCTTACACTTCCCATTTCATATGCTCGTGTGGAAAACTGCACACAGGGATGGAAAAAGCTCAAGAAAAAGACTTAGCTTTTCTCCAAAATATTTTTCTCGTTTGAAACAGCATGCCTCACATACATTGGGTCTGCTGGGGCAAACAAAATGAAAGAGCTAAATTGAAGATGATCCCTCCTTGAGGGAGGACTTTCTTGTTCTTTTTTTTTTAATTAATTAAAATAGTAGTTTTATCAAATGAAACCATTAATCATTAAATCATCAGGTTGCAGGGCATTTAATAGCCAGCCATTCTTTGCGTAAAAAGAGAGCTTATTTTCCAGCCTTACTTAATTGCTCCTCCTCTTTCACCTCTTTGTCAGAGGGAGAGGGGTTCGAACACCATACCTCAGTGCCTCTCCATACTCTAGGAAGACCTGTAGAAATGAGCCGAGGTTACAGTATTTGTCTAAAGCAAGAATGTTCAGGCTTCAGGCTGGAGACCTCAAAGGGAAGGAACTTGCTGGCTCCCTTCTTGGAGCAACCGTGGGCAGCAAATCTGGGTATCAAGACATTGTGGAGGCAAAGAGGAACCATCAGGGTCTGGAGAGGCCGGTCAACTTTGCCAGCTGGTGTGTATTCTAAGGGGTTCATTTATTCTTTAGTAAGTGGGAGATTTATGAAGGTTACTGAGTGTGATGCAGAGTAGTTTACTCATTCATGAAATATTTATTAGCACCAACTGTTACCAGTTCCGTGATTAGGTTCTGGGGATGCAAGTGTGCATTACACCCTGTCCCTATCCCCGTGAGGTTTGTAGCCAGGATTAATTATCTATTGGGTAAAGCATAAAGAAGCATTGAAAAAACTGGGGCATCAGTGATTTAAGAGTAACTTCCAATGAAGGTGACTTGAAGAATTATTATGTCTCAGCATAATAAATGCAAAGAGTCTTAAGAATCAAAAGTGCCCTTGTTATTTTCCTAATTGCATCAAGATTAGAATTCAGGGACTGAAACTTCTTTCATCCTGGTTGGTTGTCTAAGTCACACTTCCCATCCAGCCAGGATTTGCAGCACTCATTCACATTCATGGTTAGGCTTTGCCCAGAGTGATCCCTGAACATCCATATTTGTACATTGTATAAATAGTTTAGAATGTGGGCTTGATGTTTTTGCTTTGCTTCAAATGGCACTTAGTTTCAGCAAAGTGGTTCCCTCGGGTTGCTGATATATATGTCTTTATATACATGCACATTTTGGAGAATTAGTTTTTCATGAATCAGAATGATGTGTTCTCTGCCACATGTTCACAAATAAATTTGTTAAGTTAATCTCTTCATTGTTTGGTAACTACTTTCATGCAGTAATATCCAGTTGTGTGGGGAATTATATGACTTTTTTACACTAGAATAAGAAATCCATCAAGAGGACACCATTAAAAGGCCCTCAATGATGACCGTTCGTCCCCTATGCTATGTGATAATGGTGGGCACATACCACGTACCTACGACATACTGGCAGCCCACAAGTTTACAAGGTACTGTATATACATTATCTCACTTACATCTCCTTGAAAATCCTCACAGCACCATGCAAGGTGGTTACTATTCTTCCCATTTTACAGAGAAACAAAAACAAAAACAAAAAACCCGAGTCCCAGAATAGTTTATCTCCTTAGAATCTTACAACTAGTAATAGCTTAACCCAGTGATGTGCTGTCCCAACCCATGCTTCTCTTGTAATAATACCACACCACCTGTTCTCAAAGTAGATTTTCATGGGTTCAATTCTTTTTTTTTTTTTTTAAGATTTTTATTTATTTATTTGTCAGAAAGAGAGAGAGAGCACAAGCAGGGGGAGTGGCAATTAGACAGAGAAGCAGGCTCCCTGCTGAGCAAGGAGCCCAATGCAGGACTTGATCCCAGGATCCTGGGATCATGACCTGAGCTGAAGGCACACGCTTAACTGACTGAGCTACCCAGGCATCCCTCATGGGCTCAATTCTTGTCACAGATCTTAGCACGTGGCCAAGGGTTGGAAGCCCCTGCATGTAATGATAAGACCTTGCCATCTGCCCCAGGCATCCCTTAATACCGAAGTATAAGTTGACTTAGTCTCAAAACAAACTTGGCACTTAAGCCAGTGTTTCTCAACCTGAATACACATTAAAATCACTGGACATGATAAACATATTGAAACTTGGGCTTCACCTTAAAATAATGGATTGCTTCAGAGACTCTTGCGGGGAGGGTTCAGGCATCAGTAAACTTTAAAGCTCTCCAGGTGCAGCCAGGGTTGAGAACTGCAGGTGGAAGCAAACAGCTTCGGGCTGGATGAAGGGCAACAAAACCATGTGGTTTATCTTTTCCCTACAGACACAGGTTCCTCTGGGGACCTGGAAATGCTGACGGGGTCACCTTTCTATCCCAGGTAGTGGTTTGGTTCATGCAGTGTCATCTCAGCTCCTTCTAGGTAGCTGCTTGTTGCTCTGTGAGGTGAAAATATGGAACCCGTAGATTATTAAGCCTCATTTTCTTGAGGTAAAGTCCTTGGAGAGCCAGCATCTTTTAAAATGTAGATGATGGGTTTCATTATTGTAGGTTTTTTTTTAAAGGTTATTTATTTATTTATTTGAGAGAGAGCAGAGCAAGTGAGAGAGAACCCTAGCTGGGGGGTGGGGGAGAGGGAGAAGCAGACTCCCCACTGAGCAGGGAGCCTGATGCGATGCAGGGCTAGATCCCAGGACCCCAGGATCATGACCTGATCTGAAGGCAGATGCTCAACCGACTGAGCCACCCAGGCGCCCCTCATTATTGTAGTTTTAATATAAAATACACCTTGAAGAGTTTGAGTAGATCATTACCTTAGACAATAGTACATCTAATGTGCATGGTTTATGAATGATTTTCTAGCTGGGTCATTGTTGCTAGATTGTATTTCTATAAAAGGTAGAGACACCGAGCAATGTGGCCTCAGTATAATGCTGTTTGTGTCTTGAGAAGACAGATGAATTCCTAACTGGGAAAGTATGCTGCTACTGAATTTTCCTGGCAGTTGCAAACCTTCCTGCTAATTCGTGAGTTGTAGGATCTTCATCTGAGGAAGGGATGGAAATGGAGAGGAGGCAGCCCCTACTGCGTGTCAGTACCATGCTGACTGCTCCGATGCATGAGTCCTTTCCTTCTCAGCACAGCTCTCTGCACTGAGACTTCTCAGCTCTGTTTTCTAAGTGGGAAACTGAAAGCGTGTGTCCGCATCATAGGGGGCTAGAGACAGAACTGAATCTGGCCCCTTCCAAGGATGGGGGTGGCTGCAATAAGGGATGTAAAAACACTGAAAAGTATAGAGGACAGAGACCAAGCTACTTGTCTCCTTAAACAGCAGAGCCTTGGGTTTCTAAAAGGTTGATATGTTCCACTTTCATTTTTTAAAGCGTCTAATGGGAAGCCTAGATAATGAACAAAAGCCAAGTCTGTTTTTCTGTTGAAACAAATTAATTTCTTCCACTTGCCCCTTAAGGAAAAAACCAGCTTGGAAAACCAATTCAGCCAAACTGCTGGAGGTTTAAAGGGTGTGCTTCTGCCTTGGGAATGGGATGACCCGTCTTGATTCAGTCCTCTGTGGAGCTGATTTATTATTTATTAATTGAGAGGAGTCTTTTGGCTGATTTTGTGTTTTCTCATGAGTTCACCTTCAAAATGCCACTGATTCATGCCAAATTAGCTAATGCAGCTGACATGGTCGTCAGAATCAGACATAAGCCTGGTTTGGAATTCCGGATAATCTGAAAAGATATCCCAGAAAGAAGCTAGAAAGAGTCCAGAGGGGAGAAAAATCCCAGAGGCATAAAGGAACAGGCAGATTGTCTCAAAAGGGCAGATTATCTCAAACTGAGCAAGACCCTAACTAGCAGAGCAAAAATCAGTCCTGCAAGAAATGTCAGCGCCTGTCCTAGAAGTCTTCTGGCATTCTGTCTGTTCAGGGTTTTAGTCCCACTTTATGCACTGGGAGTTACCCTTGGACATGATCACTATCACTACGGCGATCTTCAGAGAGGTCATCACAGACCGAAGGCATTCTTTATGCCAGACACTGTAGGAAATCCTTGACATGCCCAGTCTGGCTGAGTCCTCCCAGCAGCCCTGCGAGATGGGCAGCACTGTTACACTTGGGCTGCAGAGGAGAAACATGGAGCTTACAGGCAAAGTGACTTGCCCAAGAAAGAACAGGAGTGGTGAAGCAGGCTTTAAACCTAGATCTCTGCCTGCAAGGCTCTCACTCTTATTTTACCCCTCAGTCAGACATCAG